TGCAATAACGGCGTTCGATATGGGTATTGTTATCCGACGTGTTGTTTTGTTTTGAACAGACTGTCCTTTGGATTTCATCTTCAGGCGCAATCTTTATTTCATCGGAGAGACACTAGACTACTCGAGTTTCGCTTCTAGTAGAGCTCATCAATAGTGGGTAGTCAGATCAAATCAATCAATACAAACTATCACACATATCACTATTCACAAAAAACTGTGAATCGATCCGAATGGGACTGTTCCTTCTTGGTGAATAAACGGGTAAATGACGAGTGCCACCGGAGATGAATAAGAGAGCTATTGCTAAAACTCAAGGTGCCCTTCTTCGACTTTTTAAATTAAAAACAACATCCCTAAAAAGAAACGGATATAACAGATACGGGCGGTGGTGACCCGGTGGTGACGTCACCAAAGTATCACCCCACGAATGCGTGTTCCAATCCCACCACCATCACCTGACTCTCTCCATTGTGTATTGAACGGCAGCCATTTGATTGGCTCCTTCCTCCTTCCTGAAAATTGGATCTCTGCATATTCAATAAAAAGAAGTAGATAAAAAATGAACTTTTCACAATCCCAACATAAGACCTCAGTCTGCCAAACAACAATGTGACCACTTATTTTCGCCTTAGACGTTTATTCGGTGAACTCTGTTGAATTCTAAGGAAAACTTGTCGTGGCGGTCAGTTTCAGTTTCAGTTTGCACAACCATTAACCATGCTTTTTCGTGCGCCGGTTTTGGTTGCTGTCTATTGGTACCCCATTTGGATAAAACAGCGAAATGAAGATTGGAATGTCGAAGCAAATTCAAGCGGAAGATGGGGAATACATATAGAGTGGTGTTAGGAAAATAACGAGTGGATGCACGGGCGCCACTGTTTGTGACACCCAGCCATATCACTCACCATCGGTGACCATCATCCCGAGGTCCCCAGCCAGGAAACCTGACGGGGCCTATGTGACCTAGTCTCCTGGTTAGGGTTTTCATACCCTCATGCCAGGTCTTAGCTTGACCACCCTTTGTTTTTGTTTGTTCCAGTGGACGACCGCGACTGCCTAAAACTCTACGCCTAACCTCAGCATTGCTAGTCCGGTTACCCCACCAGACACGTGCAATGCTACGTAGACAGCGGTGTTCGAACACCGACAGTCTATTTTTATCCTGTTTCTTTTAGTGACCAAGTCTCTGTACCGTATAGCAGGACTGGCTGTATTTTTATCCTATTCCTTTAGTGGCCAAGTCTCTGCACCGTAGAGCAGGACTGGCCGAATACTGTAGCATTACACTCGACCCTTCACAGACAGCCGGATGTCGCGACGGCGCCACAAATGTCTCAAGTTGCAAATGCCAAACGAGCCTTTATGTATGCGCGCCGACATTTCATTTGTGATGCGTCCGCCGGGTGAGATATAGCTGCCTAGATAGCAAAATTTGTCTACTTCCTCTACTACTTCCCCAGTTAGGGTGAGACTGGGTGCTGGATCAACCCAATCTTTTAGTAGCATTTTACACTTTGAAGGTGAATCAATACCGCTAGCCCTGCACGAGGATAGGGCTGTTTCAAGAATTAAATCTATGACAAAGTTAAATATAAAATGAGAAAGAGGGCAACCCTGTCGAACACCACTTTTCATGGTGAACTCGGGTGAAAAAGTGGCGTAAGCTCGAACTCGGTTTCGGCTATTATTGTAGAGGGATTGTAATATTAAAATAAACGTCTCTGGCACTCCCTTCAGGGAAAGGCAGCACGGTCAGCTTAAATGCAAACTGGTGGATGCTAAATGACTCTGTCAGTTAGACGGATGATTCAAATATGAAGAGATCAGTGTTATCGGTGTGTCCTCGTGGCTCATCTGATAGAGCGTGCGTTGTACAAAAGCGTAGGCGTCGTCCAAACGTGGGTTCGAATCCCACCGAGGCCAGTGAACATTTCACAATCTCAACAACAGATATAAGTGTGAAATACGCTCAACGCTCGATATCTTGTCCATAGATATATATATATATATACTACTGGCGGATTGTGATGCACTAAAATATTTTCTTTATGATCAAAGGGAGTTTCATCATATTTATCACCCTTATTAATGCTTTAGGTATGGACAATAATTTATATCTTGTCTACTTCGATGTACGTAGTTCCTGAGGTGCATGATTGTCAATTAAACGTGCCTGACCTTGAGTGCCACAAATAAATGATCTGAACATGAGAATCGCGAACTGTATCAAGTATTACAACGCAATACTTTCTAATAAGAATGACTCAAGAATCATCCCAAATTATTTCCGTCAACCCTTGCCATTTCCCTTATTTGTAATGAGGCATTATTTTATCTAATGTATAATCCATTATAGCAACGCTATTGAATAACCAAATGAAATTCTTTCACAACCCAGAGAAATTGCAATAAATAAGGTTTCATAATAATAATCTATGTTTGATATCTAACTCAATCAATTCGAGAAATACCACCTCAATCAAAGTCAACCTTGAAATCAAGGTCATTTTTGTGCACAGCTTTGAATGTTCGCATTGTTGTCACCTGTAACGACCTTGGCAACTTGCCATTCCGTTTGACTGTGTGAGTCGTGTTCATGTCTCACTGGACCTTTTGGTTCCTGGTGTCTGTATTTTCTTCTCTTCCAGATTGTCAGTTCACCCTCTTCACGGAGAACCTCCTATCTGTCGACGGTTCCAGCCCACACCTAGACTCGGCCCACTTGCGGTTGTCTGGTGTATTCGTTCACCGGGGACATCGTGCGGCACACCCGAGCCAAGCATCTTACACACCATAATGAAGCAAGCAGCGCTTGAAACCAAAAGTTCTTGTTATCTTAGTGAAGAGGACAAAGTGAATTCCGCGAGCACACAAGCTGGGATTTTCAATATCAAACCTTGCACAATGATTTAACGTTAACAAAAGCACAATTAACGGGAAAATCCATGGGAAAACAACAATCAGAACAGCTTGTGGAGGCCGTAAACCGAGTACATCCAAACAGGAGGTCGATCTGATTCGTATTACTCTGAAAGAGCATTGCAGAAAATCGTTGTTATCTATCCAACGGGAAGTTCTTTCCAGCCATTCATACTCCGTTTTGCAAAGAAGAATAAAAAAAATTAACATGATTCAGGTTTCAGCTGACGTTAAGCCAGGCTTGAAAGCGCAGCAAAGGCAGGCGTGTATTGATTTCACCTGCGAATTCAAATCTCGACGTGCGTCATTTTGGCGATCGGTTTATTTGGCCGACCAGTGCATGATGTGTGACGACCCTTGGAAGGCTCACAAAAAAGTCATTTGTGGTGAGATATTCCCAAGAGAACATATTTCATCAACTGAAACAGTTTCTTATCTGTCGAGATCGCTCATCTGGGCAGGGATAAAATATAGCCAGTCTTGTCGGTGGACATCAGTCAAAGGCACCATGAATAATGCGAAATTTGCATCAATAATTTCGAAAATGTTTCTAGAATTTCATGAAAAAGAATCGCCTGGAAAAGTTATCGTTTTTCAGAATAACGCTCCGTGTCATGTTTCACCAGAGATTAGTAAATTTATTTATTTAAGTAGTCTGGTTCACTTATGATTTGTCTCCAGACTTCAGAAAAGATGAGTGACTCTAAGGTTCAGTTCATGCAACTTCCTCCTAATATCCCGGATTTCAACGTGATTGAAAATCTGTTTTCTGTTTTGAAGAGATAGGTCAATGTGCTACCTATGCATTGGACCTTGGAGGCAAAAGTGCGATGCGTAATGGAATAGAAAATGAATTCATAACAAAGTTGGTGGGTTTGTCGCCGAAGAGACTACAAAAGTTTTAAAGAACAAAAACAGACTAATCGACTACTAGTGTACACAAACTTTACATGTTGCTTATTATCAATGGTAATTTGTTGTAAGTAAAAGCTGTTCTATCCTCTTTAATTAGCTCTCAACTCATCATGGTCTAGGTCAACCACTACTGACGAAATAGGAGTATCCGCTACATTCTGAACCATTCCATCTGATGAGTATAAACGATTCAGGAAAACCACGGATACGAAGACTCTCCGAGACTTGTTTATTAGTAGTTTTGAAAAAATTACTTCAGTATAAATGCTGTTGCCCATACGAGCCGATAAGTGTTTCACAGTGATCTGTTGCTTCAGTTTTGATTAGACCTATATATATACGTGATACTGAATACACTAGCATTTTAGTCGACGAGTTCGAATTCCAATATCTGGGTGAATGATTCGCATACGAGTTGCATTAACCCGAGAATGAGACTTCCAACCGCATTAGTGATGTATCGGATTCAAATCAAAGAGGTATGCTCAACCAGTTTACAAATCTGTTAGTCATGTAATGGAACGCTATCCACTCTCCCGTCCATATTTATAAACTTTACTCGAATAATCATAAATTGCATACACTACGGGGTTGTTTTATGCTTTAGTGATAACAGCAGCAAGAACACGTATGCACATCTGTCTGGGATGAGTTGTATTGAGAAGCTATCAAGTGATCACATCAATGAATTGGTTACAATCAAGCCCACCGTTGTCAACATGAATTCACATGCAAATCTGGCGGCGGCGGTAAATTAGTGATAAAACGAGCAAGTGCTAGAAACGCGCGCGTGTCACACTCATTAATGTTTGGAGACATTCACAGTTTTATTGATTAATGGTTGATTGTCAAAACATTGTGCCAAAGTTTAGTTCATATGTCACTTGCAGAAGAACCTTTTTTTCTCGAAGGTGGGCCGGTTTGAATGTTCGGCCTTCATCGAAAATTGGTGGAGAATGAATGACTAGACACTTTGACTGATGTCTGCTGATTGGTGCATTGTTTCTGTGAGACCTGATACGATTGGAACACTGGATTGGGGTTGCTCTTCACTGAGCACACGAATGTATAAATATATAAATATAAATACGAAATTAGCTGGATGGATTTTGGCAATCACTTTTGAACTAGGGCTCAATAATTGACGTTCAGATCACAACGCAAGGATGGAATCGAAAACATTGCTTCTGTTGATTCTTGGTATTACTGCCCTGATCGCTGCCATTTTGGGTATAGTGCCTCTGGCACTAACGGGTGTTGGAAGTAAGTAAATTTGCTGCAACTAATATTAAAATCCTTAGTAGTACATATTAGATAATTTACCCTCGGGCAAGTTTCATATCTTATAATTACTGACACAATGTGTTGACTGGCGCATCATGAGCCAGGCATTGTTCCATTCATAATCCAGTCCGTCCGATCTCAGGAACGCCGACTAACTACCATATTGTCTCATATACATATCACATGATCATTTACAATTATTTTTGTCGATTACGTTTTGTGCTCCCCATTAGTCTTGCACGAGCTCTTCATACTTGATTCTCCGTTCAATATCTGCCACTCTTTTGATTCAAAATTGTGCTCTTGAAGCGGACAGTTTTTCCTAACTCTAAGGTCGAAAATGTTATTGCCGATTCATAGGATAAAGAGATAGCAATTTTCGGAGTTGACAAAGTATTGAAAATTGGTTCTCGTAGCTCAGGTGAACTGAATTCTATTTCGCCTGTTCACCGAGACTGGGCAATTGGTTTGCAAAAGTTTCATCATCAACAGCCGAGGCGACATCATCAGTGCTTGTGAAGCCACTTCACCAGCATTGATGTCATCTCGGCTGGTGACGATGAAACGGTTGCAAACCAATTGCCAGGCTCGGCGAACAGGCGAAATAGAATTTTCGGAGTTTTCTCTCCTTCATCTTTTTGTTATTAATGTTTCTAATATTATTTGAACTGTAGCTTGTCTTAAGCACAATACAAAGGTGTGTCTCCCCATCGAATTGTGGAACCATGAATGATTGACGTTCTTTTTTTCCACTAGGATGCCATTTATAACAGTTACATGTCATTTTTAATGGCTACAAGTTGTGTTATTCGCGGAGTGTGATGCAATCTAATGAAGAAGGGTGATGCAGGAGTAAGTTATTTCTCCGAGGCATGATGATAGTTAATCTAATTGTGGCCTAAACAACAATCGCGCAGCGCGCGCGCACACACATATATGCCTTCTGTCTTTTGTTCGTTTTTGTTTTTACTTCCTTTTATTGATTACATAGTGATATTGTTTTTAGGAAGGGAGGCGGCGTGTTAAAGGGTTGCCATACGACACGCAATGGGGAAAGGCAGGCGGTGGTGGTGGGATTCGAACACACGTCTTCTGGGGTCATTATATATATATATATATCACATATGACGCCAGACTGTGCGCCAAACAATCATGGTATAATATACTTGATTGCAAACTAAAAGCGTTCCATGATTTGCACGTGAGCGGAATACTGCCTTATTACCCAGGTAGGTGAATTATCATGAGTAATCCACAACCGCAGCCTTCGGTTAGCCAAAGCCTGACCTGCAAGGCAGTGGGGCGGTGTGTGAAAACTGCAATACATTGGGGGCCGGTGTCCAGTTCATCGAATCATACGCCCTATGCACGGGGTCAAACGTCCAAGGTGCCCAATAAACTGCTATGCCCAATCGAGTCGGTGACCACTGGCACACCGAGGAGAGTGTGAATGAGTGTGGTTCGTACACCTCTTCTTGGTTTGTTTGGAATCAGGGTTTTTGGCCAACTACCCTAGGTGAACTACCAGTGATCCACCAACCTCGTTATAGCCCCGGATGTCGGCCCTTCGTCCTGTCACTTTGTTGGGGAAACACCTCCACCAGGAGAAATTATTGAGTAAGACTTCCTCGGCAGACACTATTTGAGACGCTTGGTTGTATGGGAGCATTTCTCAAGGTGCAGGAGAAGAGTGACCAGCCGCAACCCTAGACGCCCACTTCCGATCACACTGAGGCTTTCGGAGGCTTATATATATATCATTTATCGAAGTCCGTTCTGTGAGCCAAACGAAACCAGATATTGCAGTAAATTTATTCATGGCTTACCTAGAAGCGGAATACCAGGTCGAATCTGGTCAATGCATATGAGTTCCTTCGAGGAATCATCAGTCGGAGTCTGATTACAATCCGACCCACAGGGCAACAAGGCGGTGCGTGAAAATCGCAGTCTATTAAGCGTTTGCGTCAAGTAATTCAGATCATCCATCCTTTTAGTTTGATTCATACACCCCAGGGGCCCAGTATGCTTTATTACTATATCAGGACGGTGACCCTCCTCATCAGGAATCTCTGGAGGCAGCTTGTGCCACTCTTCATGTGGAGGTTCGGNCAAGTTCCCCAAGAAGAGCTTACTGCCCGTCGGGCACAACAACTTGCCGCATATTGTATTTTCTCTCATTTTGCTTTAGTAAAATGACACCTCGGAAGGATAAGGGAGTTGATATGGCTTCCCCAGTGTGTACTTTAAAAGGTGCATTCAATGAGAGTAGTTTCTTAACCAGCGGCAGCATTTAGAGGATGGAAGGGGGAGACACTATGAGTAATAATATGGATTAAGCATTCAATTATTATAGTGGCTTGGGTGGATATTCATTCTTTTTTTAGTGTTCCAACACCGCCGTCTAAGTCGCATTGCACGAGTCTGGTGGGGTAACCGGATGAACAATGCTGAGGTTAGACGTAGAGTAATCGCGGTCGTCCATTAGAGCAAGTAGTTGACCTCCATAGATTACGTTGGTTGGGACATGTGCTACGCATGCCATCAGATAGGTTGCCATGGTGAGCGCTGTTTGCCGAAGCAGAAAGTGGGAGGAAAACGACCAATGACGGTCAAACTAAGACCTGACATGAGGGTATGAAAACCCTAACCAGGGGTCTGGGTCACATAGGTCCCGTTAGGTTCTCTGGCTGGGGACCCAGAGATCCTGGTCACGGATGGTTAGAGACACCGAGCAATATGGCTGGGTGTCGCAAACAGTGGCGCTCATGCATCGACTCATTATTCTTGTAACACCAATCTACTATAAGAATTCTCTATCTTCCGCTTGAATTCGCCTCCAACCTTTTAATCTTCATTTTACAGTTTTATCCAAATGGACAACCAAAAGACAGCAATCAAACCCAGCGTATGAAAGTGCATAGTTAATGGTTGTGCAAACTGAAACTAAAACTGAATAGAATTCATTCAATGTCTCAATTTGATAGGACTGTTGAAGAGGAAGTGCGCTCACGTAAATCAAATAATTTCAGGTTGAAAAAGTCCACAAAGAATAATAATGTTAACCACGCACTTTCAACTAAACTTCTTAAATGAACGTCTAACAGTTCCTCTTGGAGATTTGAAAAATTAAATCTCTCACCGCGTTTCGTTTTGTGATTTCAAAATGTTTTGGAATGTATACCTAACATGATATGGACTAGTTCGTTTTAGAAGTCTGCAGATGAAATTTATTTCTAAATGGACATTTGTGTTGTATATTGCTTTTGACGACTGCCTCAAAGAACACCTGAGCAGCGCATCATTTAATGAACAAGCAAAATTTGTTCGGAAATTGCATCAATCAAAGTGGAGGTGTTTATACAATATATTTTACCTTATCCACGATATCGTTTCATCTGGTCCGATGTTGGGTTTTGGAAATGTACGCAAGGAAATCAAATGTCCAATATCTATCTACCACACGTTTGATCCATACATACAGCGTTTTGTATTGTCACCCATGAAAGTGTTTGAAAGGTAATCAATAGGATTTGCTTTTTCCGTAACAATCGATTGAAGACTGTTTTAAATCGATTAGAAGATTTAATTGAAATTTGTTTTTAAAAGACTTGATTACCTTCTACCCAGTGCCTTTTACTCCAAATACCCAACTTTGTAATCACGCATAAAAATCGTTCTGCTATTCTCTCCCTCGAAAAAGATGCGGGATACACCAGTCAATTTCAATGCTACGTGGCTATGGACATCATCGGTATTATTGTGCTGATCGCTGGCGCCATTTTGGCATTCATTCTCGCCTGCAAAGACATCTATCATTCCTATCCGATTATAATTGCTCTTGCTGTGATCATACCACTGGGACGTAAGTGCACGTCTATGTTGTATTGTTGTCTAATCATTCTCACTGCCCTCAACCTCACCTCCGTTAGTCACAGTCTATCCTCGTAGAAAGTTGCAAAATTCTAACGCAAGCAAAATTAATTTCCCTAAATTCGGATTGACCAATCATCCCTCATTTTACTCAAGGTGGATGATTGTGTGCACCCTATTGAATGGATTCGTAAAACATGGACTCCTGGACCGGTTCAAATGGATCTGCAAGCGAAGTGAACCCGTTGTTGCATCGGGTTCACAGATTCTAATGTGATAAGTATAATCAGATGTTTCGTGGGGCCGGACGACCACGATTTGTCGGTCCCCTTTTGTCACGATAACACTAACGTGTGCGCCGGGTCATACGTACTGTTAGCCTACATCAGGTTTTATAAATGTGTTCCACAATCCGAACAGATATCTCGTGTATTTTGTTGCTGTGATCTCACGGGTTTACCAGGATCCTGCTGAAAAGCATAGTCCATGTTTTCTCCGTGTTGCACATGAACCCAGTGTAGCCCGAGCGGTGTTCCACACTTGTTATCCGTTAACAATCGCATTTTTCTATGTCCGGTTTATTGAGTGCTGCGAGTAAGCCCAATCCCTTTCTTCTATCTCTTGTTCTTCTGCTTCTAAACTCAAACCTGATCACGTTTACCTACTGTTTATGGTCAGAACAACTGGTTCCGAATATTTGGTTTGTGTAATGCTCACTTTGCGATTGATTCAACTCGTCATACTTCTAATCATGTGGGCTAAATAGAAAACAACCACATTTTGTTGACACGTATAACGAGTGATCGTGCAAACCCTTGCCACGTGTGTTTACGGATCATGTTTTCTTCAATCAACAGCCACTTGCAAAGTTAATGTATAGCCTGCGGGGGTGGGGACAGACAGATAGTGTTGGAATGACATCTTTAATCACTAGTCTAGTTAGTCTATTCAAGATATTTAAACAGGACGAATATCGATGCCATTTTAAAAAAAAGCAGCCTGAGTTTCGTCCTTGTTTTTGGACCACATATTTGCACTGTGTTAAGTCCAAAAAAAAACAGAAAAATTCTATCACATTCAACTATACAATACAGTGGATCTATGTACAAGATGAAAGTCGATTGTGTTACATTCAAATTTTTGTGAATAGACTTCACTGGATGATCGTTGCCAGATTACTTCTATGTAATTCTCCCCGTTAACGCAGCTGGTGATCTTCTGTCTCGCTCTCTCGCGCGCGCTCAATGAGCACCGAGTTGCCATTTGTAGCCCATTAACGCACACACACGCACACACACACACACACACACAAAGAACCTATTTGATTAACTCCTAACGTCCACGTCGATGTCTTCACCAATGGCTTTGATACGAAAATCGGAAACACAAAAATCTCCAATCATAAAACCAGACAACCGTAACCGTATAAGATGCCATTTGTTTTCCATGTGGAAATGATCGATCAAAACAAAAATAAACTTGACAATATTAGCATACGCTTTGAAGTGGTTGTCCACACTTGATGTTCCTATATTCACACACTCGCACTCAAATTTGCAGTGATTGTTTCTTGTCTGTCTTTGACTCTAGAGCCGATGTGGTACACGCTTTGAAATCGATTTTAAGTCCCTCCTATTGTTAGATTAGTTGGAGGTTTAAAAATTGCATCTACCATGATCTCAATTTTTTTCGAAAGTGAGTGAAACCCCCTGTGCTTCCCCAAATTTCTATCCTGTTGAATGAATTCTAGGGTATTGTCACATGCCTCTCCATTTTATACCGTATATATATATATCGTTTATTCTTCTCACTCGCTGACTTAAAACAAACAGGCACATATATAGCACATGGGATTAATCAATTTTGTTGAACATTGCTGAACAATGGCTACCCAGAAAGGTTTATAGATATTCACTGTAGACCAATTCCAAAAGGTAACCCGTCTCAAAACGTCGATAAAAAGGCCATCTACATCAGGCTTGCGTTCAAAGCGGACCACATTTACAATGATGTGCACCATAAGTTGAGTTCAGCTCTATGGACTATACATTCCCAGCTGCTCAACTCAGACTCATTGCCTCTATTCGTGGAATTGATTTGGACAAACGTAAACATGGCTGGCAATCCAGTTCTGTCTCTCACACTGTATACCAGCTCACCTGCAGTTACGGTGACGCATACATAGGCAGAACAAACCGTCAGCTCTCGCAACAAATGGTCGAACATATTTCAAAGTGGTTGGTGAAATCTATGACGCAACCGACAAATGATGGCCAAGTGATTGCAAGAAATCCAGAATTATCTGTTGCAAAACAACTCATGGCAACAAGGCACACAGTTGACCCCAATTCGTCTTTCAAACCACTATTACATAATCAAAATGTAAACTTTTGGCGATTAGTGAAGCACTGCCTATTCGATTACATCACCCGACCCTGTGCGCACAGAACGTTTTGATACAAGCGATCCACTTACCGTGGAGCTGACCTTCTGCTTCTAAATTTAGTAATCAGTGTATGCTTGTACACGATTGTTCACCAAAATTGATTAATCCCATGTGCGATATATGTGCCTGTTTGTTTCAAGTCAGCGATTGAGATGATTAAACGAAATGTTAGCATTTCGCGACATTTGTCTTCTTTCTGTTTTGATGAAATGGATAAAGGAAACTCAATGCTTCAAATATATATATATATATATATATGTTGGTGGAATAGTGGTTTAGTCGCTGTCACCGGCTTGCTTTGGATCCTATGGTCGAAGTTCAAGCCCCACCAACGCCACCCAACTTTGGGTGGCAGACAGCTTTTCTGTCATCCCGCTCAATACTACGGATCATCTAACCTAGCAGGCCCCACTTGGTTTGCCATTCCAAGTCTCGGGGTTTAGGTTTCCTGTTTTTATAACTGAACAGCAGGTCTTCGTGACTATGGGGTTTACCCCGATTGTTGTTCATCACACTATACATAGATGTATTCATTTATGTGCATGTTTTTTTCATTAGCGATGCAGATTTAATAATCCCTCCGGGGGATCTAACCCGAGACCTTAAGGATAAAATGCAAGCATACTGGCAAGCGGTTGATCTGAGACCGGTTAGTAAGCTTGTTTTGAGCATCGGGCGGCATTAATCTTCAAAATGAAGTTCAGAACTAAAGGTCAACTAGCATCCATCCAGTATACCCCATATTTTCTCGGTCTAGGATAAAACACCTGTTTGTAGCATAAGAAATCCATGCAACAACAAATAGATTCTAGGCTCAAACTTGCTGCATGGGAGGCGATGCGAACGATCGTGCATAAAGTTGTGAATACACTTGACATTTGATCAATCGCGATAGCTGCCGAAGTTGGTTGTTTCGACAACCAATTCTTCTGCGTGCAAATCGCGTTATCATTAAAATGTCACTCGATTATAAGGAAAATTGATTATAACTGATGGATTCGATAACTAACTCATTGATATATAAGCTCGTTTCAACGGTAAATAAAACCGTTTGTTCTACTGCCGTCTTGAGTACTCTCATCCATTCATTCACTCATTTATACTGCCCCCTACCCTGTCTTCACCCTGGATTCCTTAAACGCATTTCAATTAAAAATTTTCTTATGGGAAAAGCTTACAAAGACTTCGCTTATCAAATTCCATAGGGTGCTTACACTTTGGGTTCTGAACCCGATTCACAAGATCACAGTTAGTCCGTGTACATAAACAAGTAATGGCATGTTTGTGACGAGCACAGGCGGATATGTTATGTAGTTGGGTGTTGAAACATAATGTTTACCAGAGTACCATTAACGACACTAATGTTGGGGCACAGACCACGTGGGGTGGTAAAGAATTCCATGTGCTGCATACTTTGACCGCAAACGAATGGCGTCTGCAGTCGAGACGGCTCTTTTGGAGCGCTAACTTCAGTGGATGCCTTTTGATATGATCATTGGTTGATAGAACCAAAATAGATCTACATGGATGGTTGGGTTGTTGGAAAATCTGATACAGTAAGATCATTTCGCCTCTGATTTAACGATACTGGGACCAGTATAGCCTCATTAGCTGTCATCTTTCACCATAGGTCTTGGGATGTAGACATTTGACCATCTTGGTAACCATTCTCTGCGGATGTTCGAGCGCCTTCCGATCTCGCTGTAGTCATGGGTTCCAGGCCTGAATTGAGTACTCGGTGTATGGACGGATATGTGTGGTTAACAGACGTGGAAACAAAGCTGGCTTAAACGATCCAAAAACACGTTTGAGCAGTCCAACCCGATTTACCGCCATGAACGATGCCCTGGAGCAGTTTGTGGAGCAACTCAAGTCTGCGCGGATGACTACTCCAAGATCCTTCTCGGAAGCAGCTTGAGTCAAAGTTTCGTGTCTGAGAGTGTAGGAAAAACGACCATTGTCACGTAGTGATGAGAATTTACATTTGATAACGTTGAATTCCATATCATTGGAGACAGACCATCTGTCGGCTTCTTTAAGGGCGTTCTGGAGATCAAATGAATCTTCTGGTTTTGTTATTGTCCTTCATATTTTGGCATCGTCTGCAAACAGCAGAGTTTTTGGTACGAGGACGTCTGGAAGATCATTTATAAAGGCAAGGAAAAGACGTGAGCCTAGCACAGATCCCTTTGGAACTCCACGGTTGATATCTGTTGGATGAGAAAGTGAATTGGAAACACAAACTGACATAATACGTAGTCGAAGAAAGTTCTCGATCCAGCCAAGTATGAGTTTCCGGATTCCATAGTTATATAAAACGCACACATGCACACACAACAGCACTACGAACACCAGTTTTAATAATTGAACCACCTGATGTCAAGCTCTTATTTCTTTCACTATTAGGAGTCTGCTCTCACGAGCTATATGACCTATTATAAAATGCACTACACGTGGCCATAGCTATATGATAAGTTTGAGTCCACATCTGTGCCGAAAATGGCTTATATCAAGTGGTGAGGTGACACGTTGGGTGTCTGAATTTCGTGCTAACGAGGAACAGACTGTGTACTGAGCATATACTAAGGGCCATAGCTATAAATGAAGAGGGTGTGTGAAAGACTGCAGTTCGAATTATTCTACCTACTTGGACTCCAATCATGCACTGGTTTGTGCTAAGTTGTCTATGCGATTTGGTGGCACTCAAAATCAAATGCCATTAGCTTGACGTTGCCACGCTTTCCAGTTCGGTTGTGCTAGCCAACTACCGAAATTAGTTGGTCGCAAGTCAAACTACTAAACCACCAACAAGCGTAGATTAACGCTGGACAACTATTCAAAACGAAATGCACTCAGCCGGTTTACACAGCTATGGCCTGATCCGTCGAGTTCTCAATCACTGGATCTCCTCTAACTCAGACATTTTGACGCGCATCGGGCAATCCCGGCCGGCATCAAGTACGGAGAGCAGCTCCTGCATCTGAAGCGTGAACTCAAAAAACGCTTGAGAGACGACCAAAAGGCCTGATGGACGCTACGTGCAAAAGGATATGGAATCAGCAGCTGATTTGGTTACGTGATCCAAACAGCGAACAAACTTGGAGTTCCTTACCAAACACATGACTCATCCATCTTTCTGTTTGACCCTATTGAAATTGTTTCATATAATTCTGATTGTAAAGGCTTGAAAAGGAATTCACCGATAATATATGTTCGCCTACCTGGTGTGTTCTTAATCAATGGGCATATTTGCGATAATTCGTTTTGATGTTCTTCAGACGAACGTTTTCCCAAGTTATTTTACATTTCTATTTGAACACTAATTTGTTGGAACTTTTTTCCCTTGGAATAAAAACGGTGATGTTTGGCCTGCTTAATAAACCCGTCTTCTTGTTTGCCTCTTCTTACAGTTTTGGCCTATATTATAGCAAATGCTTGCTACTGGCCGAAAGTTACTCCTTCACCCGGATCCTGGTTGCTGTCTGCTATGTGGGCCGCGGTACCACCAGCTTTAACTGCCCTTATTTATGTCTGCGTTCGACCCGATCGAGTTCTATAATCTGAATGAAGAAAAGCTGCCCCCAAGCATTCACCCCCACTCCCCGCCGAGGATCTGGTCACCAATGCGAAATCTTCGTCAGCGACGCGGCTGTCGCAGCCTGATGACTTTTGAGAAACCACCTTTTTGATTTGCCCATGACCTTGTATATCATATTTAAAAAGAAAGGAAAAGAGAAAAAAATATATGTATATTTTGTACAGTTTTCGTTCAAAGACTTATTAGTATGTTTTTCCAATAACAAAAGTTCAGGGTGATCAAGTTCTTATTCAAAACAATGTCTGACGTAACCAGACAGAATTGCGTGGATGCATGTGGGAAAAGTTGTTTCAAAAAGCACGCCATGTCAACCACAGATTAAGGGAACACTGCGGGTAACGGGGGAGGGATGTGGGTGAGTAGTGTTTCACTAAATGGCTGTCACACGTTATCACCTGTGCGGAATAAATTTTTCCGGGTGCCACGTTTGTCGATCTCTCGTTATGTTTCTTACATCTTTTCCCATCATGCATTAGCCAAAATCCGCGGTCCTTTAGCCTCGACCCGTAACCCTTTGGCCAAAACCCGTAATGCTTTAGCCACAAACCGTAGTCCTTTAGCCCAGACATACAAACTTTAACCACGCCGAAGTAGGCCAGTCAAATCCAAAAGTATCGAAATAATCTGAAGTCAGCGGGTGTTGAAAAAAAATTATTTTCCACAAATGGAGACGTTGCAAACCTTCAATAAGAAATAAGGTGTGAGTGTCGCACGTAGCACCACATGTTAACTGGAGAAGGGTTAACTGATGTGTCCGTATCGTCAAACCACTGGGCATATCTCGTACAGCTTCATTGTTTCCGTACAACATGCGATATTTCTGTAAATAAAACTCTGAAGTGTAACATAAACGGTAAATTGCCTCGCGTTCACAAGCCCTGAAATAAATCAAAAAGTGATACCACAGAAAGTAAATCATTATCGCTTCGTGCATCCACTTAAAGGGAATATCGCCCCTGATATGTGGATCCAGTAACCGGCTGAGCATAATAAAAGTTGTTCGAGGATAAAGGAACGTGGGTCAAGGCTAACGGACTTCGGGTCTTGGCAAACGGAATGCGGATGAAAGCTGAAGGACTGCAGGTTTTGGCTAAATCTTGATGAGAAAAGTTATAGTTCTTGTGATAAAATCTAATTGAGTGACGAAGACAGGTGACTGACCCAAAAGATTCTTGAAAAACACTGTGTGTGGTTGAACATCAGAATGAATGAAAATTATACACCAATGCGATCGTTTCAAACTTGCATGAAACAAAACACACACTGAACATGATCAAGACATTAATCCGTTTGTACAAAGTTTACTGTTGGATTTTAGCTACAGGGGAGGCGATTGACGTTTATATGCATCCACCCATCCCACTCCTCTGTATTCCACAATACAGTTCTTACTGGTGCTTTAGCTTTCTATGGATGATTAAACGAACAATAATCTCAAAAATCTCATGCATTTTATCAGCGCAAAAATTACCTAAAACATCTTTACAGAAACGATTGCATCCAACTCGTTTCGCATTAGGTTTCGTACCATCTGTCCGAGTAATAAGCACGTTATCGCACCACTTCCATTTGTTTAGCCCAAGTGAGAACGAGGGTGTTAGCCGAATGGGATACTTTTGGCGTTCACTGACTGTTCCGATCGAACTTTTACACGAATAGTTGTGCACAGCTGAAAAACAAAACAATCGAATTTGATCTGCTGCTGTATCAAGATGCTTTTTCTCACTTGTTATGAAATTTTAATTGCGGTCAGTTGTGTTACTCGGTATCAGGACAATATGAACATGTTATTGTTCGCTAAAACAATTTGATTCTTGATCAGCGGAACCTACTATGACTCAGACTGGACTGTAGTTTACTGGCCGTTGGAGATGCATAAAGTGAGCAGTGGACTTCATTTGTGATAAAGAATCACGGAAAACGAGGGTCTTCGCCACTTGGTAATTTAATTGATTGATTGATTGATTGATTGATTGTGATGGGGATTGTTAATCTGATCTTCGGAACAAGAGAAGCTGTCAACGTTATCATCACCCGAGTCATCATCATCATCATCATCATCATCATCATCATCACCACCACGAAAGAAAACCGTGTTCAATAATGATATCGAATTTCGCAAAAAAAGTACTCATTTCCCCGTAGAATTCACACTGTGACAATCGACTTCAACTTTCCTTCACCTTTCGTCTTTAGTGGGTGTGGACTGATGGGAATCCGGTGTGTGCCAAAAGGGGCAGTGATGCGCTAATAATAATAGTAAACAAATAAACTGCTGAATTACCCTGAAATATGTGCAATTGAAACCCTTAAATAGATTATCAAATAAATTAAGTTTTGGAAGCAGCGATTCGACAACACGTACACTGACTGCTAGCACATAACTGTCAGTAAGGATTGGCATATTCCCTTGATGGAATGCTTTACTAAAAAGACATTGATCGTTTTTACACCCGAGACCTGAACTCAATTATTCACAGGTCAATCAATTTCTATTTTCATTTTTTCAATAATCAGATGAACATAATGTGGTTGACAGCACCAGCACGCAGTTGTCACACTGCTCGAACTCTGATTCAATCGTGTACGTTGCTTTATTTCAGTCCAACAACTGTGTGGTGTGTTTGTGCAGTTTGTTGTTTTGCAACTGCATGAATAGCTCCCATGAAATGATCTCGGAGATGAGCCCGGGGAAAGTGGATAGATGATATCATGTGCCTGTCACGGAATTGGGGACATACTCATTTCGGCGGGGTGCCAACTTGTCGTTCCATTTGGATTGGAACCAGTGAATCCCTGATTGTGTTACAAAATAATACGGGATAGCTGACAAAAACTGTTTCCAAACTGGAACCGGCCTTCGATGGTGGTTTGTTTAGTTCCAACCTGAGTACAAAATGTGGGAATGTTATTTGACATGATCTTTACCTTGTTCGACATGATATCCAGTATGCATTGATTGATTTTCCCGGCAAATGAAACACACGTTCACATAAATACGTACACGTGGTAAATAAGTACTTATTCGTAGGTAGTAAGTGATTCAGCAGGATTGAAAAGTTGATTAAAAAGTCATCAACCCCCGATATTTCATTGCAGACATTAATTCTCATGATAAGCGAGACTAAAGAACATAGACTGAAGTGATTTCTTGAAACGTTGGGTCCCCTTTATCCAATTCGTTAGAACCGAAAGAAGACAAATACTGCGAGATGTT